TCACAAATAATACATCAGTGGAGGGATGCCTTCTTCTAACTACATAGTGTCTCTCTTAGCTGCCATCCAAAAGGTATTTTATAATTTCCCAAGAATTCAGAGAGAATCAAGAAGTGCTTGAATCATAAATACTTTTTACATCTGTATGCTTTTGACTCCATCAAATGAAAACAAGAGTATAGTCCTTGTATTTTAATGGGAGAAGAAATTGCCCTAAAAGCTAGAGTCCTATATGATTAATTTCAACTTATAAAATATGACTTAAACATAGTAAGGTGAATTTACAAATCTAGAAGAAACCAGGATGCTGAGAAAACACCCATTAAGCTAAAATAAAGAGTAATCAGAAGCAGATAAATGAAATCTCTTTTCTGTGGTCGAGTCATGAGGCCATACATAATGATCTTTTTGAGAAACTGAGGCGGCTATTTCTGTGTGAGATGGACTGTCCTTGAATGGGATCACTTCTTAGATTCTGCACAATACAAATAAGCAATAACCCCATCTCACTGGTGTGTAGATGTACCCTTTTAGTTTCTGGATAATAAGGAGGTTGGGAGAAGAGTCCCAGAGAAAGGATGGGTTGGGGCACTGGAGAGCCAGAGTAGTACAGACTGGTTGAATTTCAGCCTTGTACTTAGTTCTACCTATTCTCATCCTCAGACATGCTGTCTAAAGAAAGATGTCTTTTTTAAAAATTGAGATATAATTGACATATAACATTAGGAGCTCAGTTCTTATCAGCTGGTGGGAGAGCTAGAATTAATTTTGCTGTGCCAACATATGATTTGTCCAGCGTACTCCCTTTCCCGAAGAACTACATTTTCCCTTTTCCCCAACTCCTCCCAATTGGTGTCCTGGGTATCATTCCTGTACCTTCTGGAACTGAAATCATGCTCAATATACCAGCCCACTTTATTGAGACTCCCTTCTCCCAGGAGCTGAATTGTGACATCTTGTCACTGACTGCTAACTAATAACTTGCTGAAGACTGATGGACCCCACAATTGGCTCACCACATTGGACACCTCTGGTATCAATCCCAGCATGGAAAGAGCTGAGGTTCCAGAATCCTCTAGGACAATGGGATTTGCATTGCTGGCCCCTCCTGTTGGGGCCATCCTATGTCTGGGTAACTTTTTTTTTTTTTTTTTTTTTTTGAGAGACAGAGACAGACACAGGGTGCAAGTGAGTGAGGAGCAGAGAAAGAGAGGGAGAGACAGAATTCTACAAGGGGCAGAGAGAGAGAGAGAGAGAGAGAGACAGAGACAGAGACAGAGAGAGAGAGAAGTGGGGCTCACCCAAAGAGGGGCTCGAGCTCATGTGGGACTGGAACTCACCAACCATGAGTAAATGATCTGAAGTCCGATGCTTAACAACTGAGCCACCCAGGTGCCCAGTATGGGTAACTTTTTGAAGATGGGTTGCCTCCCCTTTCCCCGTGGCCCATCACTGCCTCAACACTGAAGCCAAATGGTCAGACCCACCCAGCTGGTGGGAAGGTAAAACCTGAGCACTCCTCAGGGGAGGTTCAGATATTTTGAGAAGTCTGTGAGAAGATACCTGAAGAACACACACTGATCCTCCATGAACTCAACATCTGGAATCATAATAGAGGCTTCTGAAGCAAAGAAAGGGATGGGGGCAAAATAGATGTAAGTTATGAAGGTAATAGAATTGGAAATATGAGGGGCGCTCTACTTAGAAAATTGTCTAAAGCAAAAAGTATGGCAATTGAGTCCCCAAGAGATCTTCCCATTTTCACAGCAGACATTACTCACTGGTTCCAGCATTCTTGCCTGCAGCACCCAGACTTAAAATCTGTCTCAATACAGCATTCCAGGTATTCACTACAAACCAATTAGTTGTCATGCAAGTTTAAAACTATCAACCATCCTGGATTCAAGTGAAGAAGTAACTTTCTTCTTCCTAAGCCACCAATATAGTACAACATAACGCGTGGATGAGGAAAGTCAGAATAGGAAAACAAAGAGGAAGTCTGTGCTAAGGTTAAAAAAGCTAACTTTTTAAGATCTTGTGGTATTAGAATTTAATATATTTTCTATTTAATTATGAGCATTTCACACAATTCTTCCTTTTATTCTAATTGCCTTCTTATGCCCAATACCATTTCCCCTCAGTGCAATCTCTCCCACAATGCCCACCCCTTTCTTTTTTTTCCACCCAGATTGACTGGTGTGCTGTTGAACTGAAAATGGAACATCGTTGCCTGGAAGTTCATGTTGACCCTCAGGCAGCCAGCCAAGTTAAGGCTGTGTATAGGAAAGATACCTCGGGAGCAGTCATGAGATTCAGGGGTACCTCTCCATGCTGAGTGGCCATTCATGCCTACTGGAATCTAATTTGTGATTCTGCCCAAAACCCTGCAAAAGGGGAGTTTCTGCAGGTACCAAATGTTCCCTGAGTATGTCCTTTTGCTCAAAGTCAAACAGAAAAACAAGAACAGAACAGGAGGTTGTTTAACCCAGCCCCAAGGAAAAGAAAGAAAAAATACTGGAAGCTGGAAGATTGCTTTCAGTGCAGCTCCTGGTGGGAGGTAGGGGCTTAGATTAAATTAAACATTCATACCATCCCTTTACAATCTAGGAAGCACACCCTGGCAGCTACTCCTGGTTAAAGCTGGTCTCAGATATCCAACTATCAGCAAAATGTATCCACTTAGACATCCTACTGTCACCTATGAATGTTACCACCCTTCTACCCCTAAAACTGAAACCTCAGTCATCACTGATGTCCCTTTTTTTCTTAATAATCAGCATCTAACTGCTTCAATGTTCAACAGATTCTCCTCTCAAGATGTCTCTGGGTCCACTCCTTTCTCTATCCATGACTGCTCCCTTGTTCTTATCCTCATCACTTCATCACCCTTGGATTACTGGATCCATTTGGTCTCACTCACTTTCCAGCTTCAATTCCCTCCGGTACCAAACTAATATTCCTCAACTCCTACCTTGACTCAATGAACCACCAATGGATTCCCATACTGACTTTCAAAGCTTAAAACTCTCTGGGTTGCTATGCAGTTACCATAATCAGTCACCATATTTCCTATCTACATTATTGTTAGTTATTTCCTATTGGTATGCATGTGTCCCCCAAATCATGTTTCCACACAAACTGTGAGTACAAGTGGCCTTCCGTGTGCCTTTTAGCATAAATCAGGGGTTCAAGTGAGATCCTACAGTTTTATGTGTTCTTAGCAAGACCTTTCCACCTTCATCACATTACTCATCAAGGCTATTTTCACTCTGCTTTTTAGTATTGTGTGTGTTGCCTCAAAAATTCCAGGTCTCCCTGTTCTTCCCCATCTCCCTCACTCTAATACTTGCATGACCCTACACATCCCCTTTTCTGACCTCATCTCCCACTGTTCCTCACCTCCTGAAATAACCTGAATGTGCCTTTTGGAACTCACTGTCCAGGAGCAGCAAAACTTTCTATATGCTTAACTTCCCCTCTGAATATTTTCATTGTCTTTCCCTCACTAAAGGTTGACTCTCCCTTAAGGATACAGTTTGGATAAAGCTGCTCCTGTAGCTTTCTCAAATAAGTGCTGCTTTCTCTTCCACATCTCCCTGGCCAGGAGGTCTGGGAGAGGGGGGCTTTCATGTTCTCCTTGCTCCTCTTTATTGGTTCTAGACAATTCCTCTTCCTCTTCTCTACAAGCATCCAACTCTGATATTATGTCATAATATTATGTTGCCTACTTCTCTTCCTTGTGACAGTCACCTATCAACCAACTGCTTACAGTCCATCACTCTTTGAAGATTTTACTTCTGAGTCATTGTCACCCTCCTCAATATATTCCTGTTATGGTTCTTGATGATGTCAGAATAAGTAATCCTCTCAATAAATGGACTTCTCAGTTCTTTGACCTCTTCTTTTCCAAAGGTCATAGTATAAATTTTATTTTTACCAACAACTATAACTTTATATATCATCATTTCTAATCATTACTATCTCTCTAGCTTACTTCCTCTACTACTTGGCCTCCAAGAATCTTCTACTATACCAAAACCTACAATGTATTGCTTTCTCCACCTTTACATGGACCTTTGTTCCTCTCTTATCCTCATGTACTTCCTTTCCCAGATTCAATTCTATGGTCAATCATCATATTTATTGCACTGCATACAGCCTCAGCTCCCTTGCTTCTCTCTCATTTTGATATGCTTCCTTGTGTTAAAGTATAGTAACCTTTGTAAACAAGACTCTGATGCTAATATCAAATGAATGCAGATCAACTATTTATTCAATTAATCAGTTAATGTTAAATAAATGCAGATTAAATATTGTATTGAATTAATTAGTTAATGAAGAAATTAAGAAGAAGTTATAACCAGTTCAAAGAGCACTTAAGAAGCTAAGTACAGGATTGCTACATGAGGTACAAACCTAGTTAACATTTAACAGGGTCATAAATTATGTGTCCCACTGGGCAGTAATTACCTGTATTCCTACTGGACAAAAACTACAACTTGATATGTACCTCCACATATTACCCGGAAACTTTAATCCATAGTTAACTGTGAGTTGAACTAGATTTGTTCTCCTATACAATCCTTGGGTGGCCATATGACAAAGAAGGACATTGGACTCAGTTTTGCCTCATTTCTAAAAACAATAATTTTTTTTCAGAAAAACAATTTTCTGACTCTTGGTAAAATAAAAAAGTAGTTTAACCCAACCATTATGCACTTATACTACACAGCTAAACATGTCTGGAGTAAAACAAAACCAAAGCTCTGAAATGAAATTCATGATCACCAGTTCAAGGCGACTCGGCTGCATAGCAACCAAGTTCTATTACCTAGTTGATTCACCCTCCCACTCTTGTAGGCAACATTTCCTCTCCACCAAACCTCTAACATCTCTTTTCCTTTCCCCACTCTAATCCAGGAATTTTGTAACTTACTTCACTGAGGAAATATAAACAATAAAAATAAAAATTTTAAACTGCCACTGCTGCATTCACATACCTGTATGCATTTGTGCCCATACATTTCTCTTTCTCTTCTATTAAGATCAATGAAATGTCTTCACTCCTAGAAAAAGTCAAGACTCAACTTTAGGTTACTAGCCATAATGGAGTAACAGGGTTGAACTTAACTTTTTACCCTAAACAACGTGAAAATGAAACAAAATGTATGAAAGAGCAGATTTCAGGCATTTGACAAAAGGCAGCATGGAACAGTTATCTCCAAGAAAAGGATAACAAGTGAATCCTATTATTGCCCCAGCTTACTGTGCATAGGACTTTACAGGCCACAGTGCCAGGAGTGGAATAGCAACAAGAGCCTAAAAGTCTTTCTGAGTTGAGGAAACATATACTGGGGTTTGGGGAGGCCAGGACATCTAAAAAAATTATAGGAGGGAGTTGCAGAGAAAAGCTGTGATGATCTACAGAGAAGTCCCTTTAAGTCTTGGGCCAAGTACTATACATTTGTATGAGTAAACTATTCAAAGCTTGGAAAGAACCACAGGAAAAGAGTAGGTGGGACAATCGCTAGGACTCACACAGAGTTGATTGTAATTTATATTAGTACCAGCCAGAGTAGAAAGATTTCTTAATATGTAGGTCATTTGGTAATGTCCTCAGAAGGGTGTTGCCTTAGCAGTGATGTTAAGTTGGCCCTGAATTAAAGCCTTGCTAGGATCAAAATGATTCCAAGTAACTCAACATGTCCCAAAACAAAATCCAAAGATATTAAAATCAATACTTTAAATCTGGCACCCAGTAATGTAAAATTCACAATGTCAGGCATCCAATAAGAAAAATACCAATAATACTATGAAACTGGAAAATATGACCCATAAACAGAAAAAAGAAAAAGCTGTCAATAGAAACAGAGAAATATGACACAGAAAAAGAATTAGCTGACAATGAAAATAAAACAGCTATTATAAATATACTCCATATGCTCCAGAACAAAAGCAAAACATACACATGATGAGGAGAGAAAAATAAGATATTTTAAAAGACAAATGTTGAAATTATAGAAATAAAAATACCTGAAATAAAAAATACACTGGATGGTAGTAATAGCAGATTAGACACTGTAGAAGAAAAATAAGTGAATTTGAAGACATAATATTAGAAACTACTCAAATTAGGGGTGTGCTGGGGGGCTCAGTCAGTTAAGTATCTGACTTTAGCTGAGGTTGTGGTCTGACAGTTTGTGGGTTCAAGCCCTGCATTGGGCTGTCTGCTGTCAGCATAGAGCCTACTTCAGATCCTCTGTCCCCCCACTCTCTCTGCACCTTCCCAACTCATTCTCTCTCTCTCTCTTTCACAAAATAAACTTAAAAAAAAAAAAAGAAACTACTCAAATTAAATACATAGAGAAAAAACCTGAAAAAAATAAAGACCATCAATGACCTCTGGGACTAAATTGAGCAGCCTAATATATACATGTAATTGGAGTCCCAAAAGGAGAGGATATGGGAAGAAACAAAAACTATTTGAAGAATCAGTAGCCAAAAAATTTCCAACTTTGATGTAAACTAAAACCTCACTGTTCTAAGAAGCTTAATAAAACCCAAACATGAAAAAAAATCCACACGAGACATGTCATAATCAAATTGCTGAAACCCCATAAAAAAGAGAAAAAAAATTCAATCAACCAGAAGAAAAAGGACACATTACATACAGAGGAACAAAGGTAAGATTTCAGCAGACTTGCTTCAGATTTGCAAGTCAGATACTCTCTGTAAATTACTCAAAGAAAAAAGCTGTCAACCTAAAATTCTGCATTGGTCAAATTAAGGCAAAACCCAAGAGAAATGAAAGCATATTTCCAAAGAAAGACATGCGTACAAAGGTTCACAGCAGCTTTGTTTGTAATAGATGAAATGTGGAAACAACCTATATACCCATTAATAGGTAAATAGAGGGAAAAAAAATATGATATAAGAATGTCAATACATACAACAACAGGAGTGAAACGCTAATAATTATGCTGAGTGAAAGAAGCCAGATTTAAATGAGTACATAATTATGATTTAATTTAAATAAAATTCCAAACCAAAATGCAAACTAATTGGTAGTAACAGAAAGTAAATCAGTTCCTGCCTAGGGAAGCAGGGAACGGGAAGAAGTTACAAAAGGAAATAAGATACTCTTGGGGGTAATGGACATGTTCATTATTTTGATTATAGTGATAGTGTCATAGGTGCGTACACATGTCAAAGTTTATCAAATTATATACTGTAAATTTGTGCAGTTTATAATAGGACAGTTACACCTCAAAAAAGCTTCTTTAAAAAATTAAATCAAAACAAAGACATTTCAGACAAAAACAAAATGAGATAATTCATTGCCAACAGATTTTTACTATAAGAAATGGTAAAGGAAAAATAACACCAGATGGAAATTTGGATCTAAACAAGGAGTAATGAGAAAAAAATTTTAAGTATACAAGCAAATATAACAGATTGTTTCTCATTATAAAAATATCTTGAAAAAAATTGATTGTCTAAAGTAAAAATAACAGAAAATTGAGTCCATACATATGTGGAAGTAAAATGTATGACGATTGCACAAAGGATGAGAAGGGAGTATAAATTTACTTTTGTAAGATTTTTACCATCTATGTTAAGTAGTGTAATATTTGATGGTAGACTTTGTTCACATAAAGAAATATATTTTAAAGCCTAGGGACATGACTTAAAACAAAAAAACCCAAACAGGTGTAATTAAGAAGCCTACATATGAAATAATAATTAAAAATCCTTGAATCCAAGAGAAGACAGGAAAAAAAGGGAGAAAAGAAAGAAAGAACATGGGAGATAAATTGAAAAAACTGCAAGATGGTATATTTATATTCAATTATATTGATGATTACATAAATATAAATGGTACACTTTCCAGTTAAAAGAGATTGTCAGATTAAATAAGAAGCAAGATCCAACTTTATTGTGTTTACAAGAAACACTTTAAACATAATGGCATTTAGAGATTAAAAGGATAGAAAATTATGTTTCATCCTAACATTAGTGAAAAGAGAACCAGAGTGGCTAGATAATCCTCAGAATGTAGAAAGGAAAATTATCAGAAAGAAAGAGAATATTTTAGAATGATAGAGTGACTTCATCAAGAGGATATAAGAAGCCTAGTAAATGCCAACCACTTGTCTATAAACTAGATCCTATCCCCATTAACCTACTCAAGGTCAACTCTTGAACAAATTATTCCCTCTCCTGTAATACCAGTTTTTCTTCTTTACTGGAACTTCTGCATTAGTATATAAAGAAGCTTTAATTTATCCTGTTTAAAAATAGATACATTCCTTCTTGACCCCAGATCTTTCTCCAGCTCATATTCACTCATGTTCAACTCTCTTTCTTCTTTATATAAACTTTCTGTTAAAGGTTGTTTATACTTGCCCTTTCTAAATTCTTTCCTCTCATTCTAAAATCCATTCCAATCAGACTTTTGCCTAAAAACACTATTAAAACATTTTTGTCAAGGTCACCTATGATCTTCACCTCATTAAATCCAATAGTCAATTCTCAGGCCTGATTTACTTGATCTAACAATAACATTTGACACAGGTGATCACTCCCTACTCCTTTATAAGCTTTCTTTTCTTGACTTTCAAGAGTCCACAGACTCTTGGTTTTCTGCCTGCCTCCTCCTTAGTCTCATTTCCGTTCCTGGTTTATTCCTGACTTCATAATATTACAGCACTCCAGGGATCAGACTTTAGTCCTTTTTTTCTTTTTTATCTACACTCACTTCCTTGGTGATTTCACTTAGTCTTACAGCTTTAAATGCCATCTGCATGCTTGCTAATGACTTCCAAATTTATATCTCTAGCCTAAACTTTTCACTTGTTATAGGGACTTGAATATTTAATTACCTATTCATCATCTCTAACCAGGTTTTTGATAAGGATCTCAAGCTTAACAGGTCAAAAATTGGACTGGCTCTACTTGGTCATGATCTGGGAGAACCTGGTGAACACTGGCTTAAGACAATCACTCACAAATGAGACAGCCTTTGTTCCTGGTTTTCAGAGAAGTTCCAGCAGTCAGAGCAAAAAATCTAAAATAAAAATAAGAAATGAAATATGGTTTTGGATGCCCTGGAGAGGGAAGAACAATTTGGCTTAACCTACATCACCACTCCCACAAGGCAGCACAGCATAGGGCCAAGAAAGACTTTTCCTGGCTTTTGATTTATCCCCTAGGTAAAAGGAAGAGCATTTGGGTGAATACCTGTTTCCCCAGCTATATAGGACAATGCCAAATGGGCTCATTTCTCTCTCTTCCTATCCAGAATGCTAATTAAAAGCTCTATGATTTGGAGGGTGGGAAGAGGTGAGGAGAATGACAGAATTCTTGGAGGACATAAAAGGGACATAGATCCTAACTGTCTTGTGGATTTCATCCAGAAGCCTGTCCATAAGCTTCTGAGAGTGATTCACCCAACAATCAACTCCAACTGACTAATAGGTACCCACGGTGCTCTGCAAGCCTCACCTCCACCCTATGGCCAGCTCCCTACGTGTGCTCTTGACAATGGTGCATGTGGGTTTTGGCAGACTGCCAAGGAGCACACACAGAAAATTGGCTGAATCTGCAGGCTAAAGAGAGAGACCACAAAATTGAGCTTTAGGGCCACATGTGGGAAAACAAAAGAGAGACTATGAATACAGAGCCTGGTGTGTTGCAGGATCCAGAGAAGGCATATAAGTTTAAGAATTGTGCCACAAAATGGAGTAAGAGGCAAGGGCAAGGGTATCCACAGAAGGCCCGAGATAGCCTCAGAATAAGGTATCTTTTTCCCAAATGCAATTAGTAAAATTGTACAAGATGATTGCTATTTCAAATATAAAGACAACAATGAAAAGCTTCAAGGAACATGCAAAATGAAGGTAAAAAGACACTACCAAAGAATTACAATAATCTTCTGGTAACTGAACACAAAGCTCAATGATTTACCTGATAAAGAATTCAAAAGAGCTGTTTTAAGGAAACTCAATGAATTACAAAAAAAAAAACAAAACAAAACAAAACAAAACAAAAAAAACCACAGAAAGAC